ACCTTCATTCTCTGATTTTCGGGGTATGTGATGAAATGATACATGCGACTACCTTCATTCTCTGATTTTCAGGATATGTGATGAAATGATACACGCGACTACCTTCATTCTCTGATTTTCGGGATAAAGTGATGAAATGATACATGCGACTACCTTCATTCTCTGATTTTTGGGGTATGTGATGAAATGATACACGCGACTACCTTCATTCTCTGATTTTCAGGATATGCGATGAAATGATACACGCGACTACCTTTCATTCTCTGATTTTCAGGATATGTGATGAAATGATACACGCGACTACCTTCATTCTCTGATTTTCGGGATATGTGATGAAATGATACATGCGACTACCTTCATTCTCTGATTTTTGGGGCATGCGATGAAATGATACACGCGACTACCTTCTGTTCTAAGAAGCCTTTACTACGCATGATTCAGCCGGATGACTTTTTTTGATTCCTTTAGTCCCTTCTCACCATAACCTGTATCATTATAATGTCTCATAAAAAAAAAAAAGGATATTTAAAAAAGATGAAAGTGGAATGATAGGATGCAGTAAATAAACCGCGTACTTTCCTCCCCCACGCACTTTAGTTTTTATGGGCCAGAATATTTATGCCTTAGCGCCGAGCGCGGTTTTAATTGTTAATGTTAATCACGGACAAAAAGAGAGAAACTATTCGGAGCTGAAATTCTTTAATAAACCTTTTTCCTGCTTTATTGGGAGCTATATATAGTTACAACTCCACAGGGTATCGGCAGCTAATACTGTGTGCGCCGCTCATTAGGAAATAATAAAATGATGTGCTAAAAATTTAATTGCAACTAGGACTAGGTCACCTTGCTAAACGCATGTGTGTGTATCTATTAAAAAAATAAAAATAAATAAGTATAACAGAAGTCCTGGTGTTTAAGGTATTTATTTGTTTAATAAGCGGTGGAGGATCACCTTTGTTTCTGCAAAAGATATAGGGGGTGACCTCGACCGTGACCCCCAAGGTGAGGCAAGAAAAATGGAAGATCTGCATCGGTTGTATGTGTCCTGTTCATGTATTATTATTGATAAACCGCATTTCTGAACCATTTGGAGATCATGTAACGCGGACGGATTATTGAAATGATATAATATATTACTGAATTTTTTTTTTTGTAGTAGATGGCAAACTCACAGAGAGTATTTATCATCCGGGGATGAGTTATAATATCTCCCAGTGGTGGCACCTTATATCACCCCGGGATGAGATCTAATATCTCCCAGTGGTGGCACCTTATATCACCCAGGGATGAGTTATAATATCTCCCAGTGGTGGCACCTTATATCATCCCGGGATGACTTATATCTCCCAGTGGTGTCACCTCATATCACCCAGGGATGACTTATATCTCCCAGTGGTGGCACCTTATATCACCCAGAGATGACTTTATATCTCCCAGTGGTGGCACCTTATATCACCCAGGGATGACTTATATCTCCCAGTGGTGGCACCTCATATCACCCAGGGATGACTTATATCTCCCAGTGGTGGTACCTTATATCACCCAGGGATGACTTATATCTCCCAGTGGTGGCACCTTATATCACCCAGGGATGACTTATATCTCCCAGTGATGGCACCTCATATCACCCAGGGATGACTTAACTCTCCCAGTGGTGGCACCTTATATCAGAAAAGGGATGACTTATATCTCCCAGTGGTGGCACCTTATATCACCCCAGGATGGCTTATATCTCCCAGTGATGGCACCTTATATCACCCAGGGATGACTTAACTCTCCCAGTGGTGGCACCTTATATCACCAAGGGATGACTTATATCTCCCAGTGGTGGCACCTCATATCACCCAGGGATGACTTATATCTCCCAGTGGTGGCACCTTATATCACCCAGGGATGACTTAGATCTCCCGGTGATGGCACCTTATGTCACCCGGGGATGACTTAGATCTCCCAGTGATGGCACCTTATATCACCCAGGGATGACTTAGATCTCCCAGTGGTGGCACCTTATATCACCCAGGGATGAGTTATAATATCTCCCAGTGATGGCATCTTATATTACCCAGGGATGACTTAGATCTCCCAGTGGTGGCACCTTATATCACCCAGGGATGACTTATATCTCCCAGTGGTGGCACCTTATATCACCCAGGGATGACTTATATCTCCCAATAATGGCACCTTATATCACCCGGGGGATGACTTATATCTCCTAGTGATGACACCTTATATCACCTGGGGATGACTTAGATCTCCCAGTGGTGGCACCTCATATCACCCAGGGATGACTTATAATATCTCCCAGTGGTGGCACCTTATATCACCCAGGGATGACTTATATCTCCCAGTAATGGCACCTTATATCACCCGGGGGATGACTTATAATATCTCCCAGTGGTGGCACCTTATATCTCACCGGGATGACTTATATCTTCCAGTGATGGCACCTTATGTCACCCCTGGATGAGTTATAATATCTCCCAGTGATGGCACCTTATATCACCTGGGGATGAGTTATAATATCTCCTAGTGGTGGCACCTTATATCACCCAGGGATGACTTAGATTTCCCAGTGGTGGCACCTTATATCTCACCGGGATGACTTATATCTCCCAGTGATGGCACCTTATATCACCTGGGGATGAGTTATAATATCTCCTAGTGGTGGCACCTTATATCACCCAGGGATGACTTAGATTTCCCAGTGGTGGCACCTTATATCTCACCGGGATGACTTAGATCTCCCAGTAATGGCACCTTATATCACCCGGGAGATGAGTTATAATATCTCCCAGTGATGGCACCTTATATCACCCCGGGATGGCTTATATCTTCCAGTGATGGCACCTTATGTCACCCCTGGATGAGTTATAATATCTCCCAGTGATGGCACCTTATATCACCTGGGGATGAGTTATAATATCTCCTAGTGGTGGCACCTTATATCACCCAGGGATGACTTAGATCTCCCAGTGATGGCACCTTTTATCACCCTGGATGAGTTATATCTTCCAGTGGTGGCACCTGATATCACCCAGGGATGAGTCATGTCTTCCAGTGGTCGCACCTTATATCACCCGGGGATGACTTATAATATCTTCTAGTGAAGTTACCATACAGTATATCCCCCAAGGATGACTTAAAATATCTCCCAAAGTTTTGGATAATTTAATGCACCAAACTTTGTGGGAAGAGTTTGGGGATGGCCCCTTCCTGTTCCAACACGACTGCACACCAATGCACAAAGCAAGGTCCATAAAGACATGGATGAGCGATTTTGGGGTAAAGGAACTTGACTGGCCTGCACCCCATAGAACACCTTTGGGATGAATTAGAGCAGAGACTGCAAGCCAGGCATCAGTGCCTGACCTGACAAATGTGCTTCTGGAAGAATGGTCAAACCTTCCCATAGACACCCCTCCTAAACCTTGTGGACGGCCTTCCCAAAGAGTTTGAAGCTATTATAGCTGCAAAGGGCGGGGCCAACTCAAAATTGAACCCTACCGACTAAGATTGGTAGGCCATTAAAGTCCATGTGTGTGGAAAGGCAGGCAGCCAAATACTTTTGGCAATATAGTGCATGTACATGCATAAGATAAGTGCAGATGTCACATTGGATACATCATCCTCACTTAGGTGAGCATAAAAAAAGAGAAAATTGGAAAAAACAAAAAAACAGATATATATTGTTTAAAAAATATTTTTGCAGTTGTCTAAGGAGAAGGAAAAAGAGGAAGGGATGAGGAAGTCATTTTCATGGGTGAAGGTCCACTTAAAGCTCCAATTAAGACCGTAGAAACTTTCGACCCCTTGATGGGCGTTACATAAATTTACCCCTCCTAAATCCAGTAGAAGGAACTTGACTTTGATGCTGCAAACCTGACAGAGACGTGTTGGTATTTTTAAGCCAACAACAGCCTGTAGTCATGTAAGATTATTTTGAAGGTTGACCCCGGAGACTGGAAAAACATCAATGGTTGTTCAGTAGATCTCCCTTCCTGAGGTATTGTCATCTTTTATCTTGGCAAACATCAAAATCTGAGCACAAAAACGAGAAAATGAGCTATTGATTTTTCCACATTGTCTTAACCCGCAGACTAATTGAAGGTCAGCATATGTATCCCCTTCAAAGACACGGCTTTGTCATGTAGTGAAGACGTGACACCCTCCACCTTGATGGAAACATCAGTAAACAGGAATGTCTAAACATTGTAGATGGGAAACCTTAAACCTCGGAAATAAGTGATGAGACAAGGAGAAGATGAAGTACAATGTTACTGGATAACTGAACGGGTGTCAGGATAAGGGATTAGCGTGTACAAATATATTATTTATGTTCTGTCCTTTATACATCGCCTGCAGTGAACAATGTGAGACCATAGTGACCATCAAATGGTTAAACAGGAGAGTAAATACACTTGTTAGCCTTCTGGTAGGGCCAAGTGAGAATATTACATTTCAGTGATTTCTTAATGATGAATTGTTATGTTTTTTTTAAATGCTAGCCAAATTTATTTTTCTGGGTTTTTTTTAACCACTTCAAGTCTGGACACTTTTACCCTCTTCCTGTCCGGACACTTCCCCCCCCCCCCCCCCCCCCCCATTCCAGTCCGGACACTTTCACCCCCTTCCAGTCCGGACACTTTCACACCCTTCCTGTCCGGACACTTTCACCCCCCTTCCTGTCCAGACACTTTCCCCCCCCCCTCCTTCCAGTCCGGACACTTTCACCCCCTTCCAGTCTGGACACTTTCCCCCTCTTTCAATCCGGACACTTTCACCCCCCTTCCTGTCCGGAAACTTTCACCCCCTTCCTGTCCGGGCACTTTTCCCCCTTCCAGTCCGGACACTTTCACCCCCTTCCAGTCCGGACACTTTCCCCCCCTTCCAGTCCGGACACTTTCCCCCTCTTCCAGTCCGGACACTTTCACCCCCTTCCAGTCCGGACACTTTCCCCCCCTTCCAGTCCGGACACTTTCCCCCCCCTTCCTGTCCGGACACTTTCCACCCCTTCCTGTCCGGACACTTTCCCCCCTTCCAGTCCGGACACTTTCCCCCCCCTTCCAGTCCGGACACTTTCCCCCCCTTCCAGTCCGGACACTTTCCCCCCCTTCCAGTCCGGACACTTTCACCCCCTTCCAGTCCGGACACTTTCCCCCCCTTCCAGTCCGGACACTTTCCCCCCCTTCCTGTCCGGACACTTTTCCCCCCTTCCAGTCCGGACACTTTCCCCCCCCTTCCAGTCCGGACACTTTCACCCCCTTCCTGTCCGGACACTCTTACCCCCTTCCAGTCCGGACACTTTCAACCCCTTCCAGTCGGACACTTTCCCCCCCTTCCTGTCCGGACACTTTCACCTCCTTCCAGTCTGGACACTTTCACCCCCTTTCCAGTCCGGACACTTTCCCCCCCTTCCAGTCCCGGACACTTTCCCCCCCTTCCTGTCCGGACACTTTTACCCCCTTCCAGTCCGGACACTTTCCCCCCCTTTCCAGTCCGGACACTTTCACCCCCTTCCAGTCCGGACGCTTTCACCCCCTTCCAGTCCGGACACTTTCCCCCCCTTCCAGTCCGGACACTTTCCCCCCTTCCTGTCTTCCTGTCCGGACACTTTCCCCCCCTTCCAGTCCGGACACACTTTCCCCCCCCTTCCAGTCCGGACACTTTCCCCCCCCCCCCCATCCAGTCCGGACACTTTCACCCCCTTCCAGTCTGGACACTTTCACCCCCTTCCAGTCCGGACACTCACCCCCTTCCAGTCCGGACACTTTCCCTCCCTTCCAGTCCAGATACTTTCCCCCCCTTCCAGTCCGGACACTTTCCCCCCTTCCAGTCCGGACACTTTCACCCCCTTCCAGTCCGGACACTTTCCCCCCCTTCCAGTCCGGACACTTTCCCCCCCCTTCCTGTCCGGACACTTTCCCCCCCCCTTCCTGTCCGGACACTTTCCCCCCTTCCATTCCGGACACTTTCCCCCCCCTTCCAGTCCGGACACTTTCCCCCCCTTCCAGTCCGGACACTTTCCCCCCCTTCCAGTCCGGACACTTTCACCCCCTTCCAGTCCAGACACTTTCCCCCCCCCTTCCTGTCCGGACACTATCCCCCCCCTTCCTGTCTGGACACTTTCCCCCCTTCCAGTCCCGGACACTTTCCCCCCCCTTCCAGTCCGGACACTTTCACCCCCTTCCAGTCCGGACACTCTTACCCCCTTCCAGTCCGGACACTTTCAACCCATTCCAGTCCGGACACTTTCCCCCCCTTCCTGTCCGGACACTTTCACCCCCTTCCAGTCCGGACACTTTAACCCCCTTCCAGTCTGGACACTTTCACCCCCTTCCAGTCCGGACACTTTCACCCCCTTCCAGTCCGGACACTTTCCCCCCTTCCTGTCCGGACACTTTCCCCCCCTTCCAGTCCGGACACTTTCCCCCCCCTTCCCCCCCTGTCCGGACACTTTCCCCCCCTTCCTGTCCGGACACTTTCCCCCCCTTCCAGTCCGGACACTTTCCCCCCCCCTTCCAGTCCAGTCCGGACACTTTCACCCCCCCCTTCCAGTCCGGACATTCTCACCCCCTTCCAGTCCGGACACTTTCAACCCCTTCCAGTCCGGACACTTTCCCCCCCTTCCTGTCTGGACACTTTCACCCCCTTCCAGTCCGGACACTTTCACCCCCTTCAGTCCGGAACACTTTCACCCCCTTCCAGTCCGGACACTTTCCCCCCCCTTCCTGTCTGGACACATTCCCCCCCTTCCAGTCCTGACACTTTCCCCCCCCCTTCCAGTCCAGACACTTTCACCCCCTTCCAGTCCGGACACTTTCACCCCCTTCCTGTCCGGACACTTTCACCTCCTTCCAGTCCGGACACACTTTCACACCCCCTTCCAGTCCGGACACTTTCCCCCCCTTCCAGTCCGGACACTTTCCCCCCCTTCCTGTCCGGGACGGACACTTTCACCCCCTTCCAGTCCGGACACTTTCCCCCCCTTCCAGTCCGGACACTTTCACCCCCTTCCAGTCCGGACGCTTTCACCCCCTTCCAGTCCGGACGCTTTCCCCCCCCTTCCAGTCCGGACACTTTCCCCCCCTTCCTGTCTGGACACTTTCACCTCCTTCCAGTCCGGACACTTTCACCCCCTTCCAATCCGAACACTATTTCCCCCCCTTCCAGTCCGGACACTTTCACACCCCCTTCCAGTCCGGACACTTTTACCCCCCCTTCCAGTCCGGACACTTTCCCCCCCTTCCTGTCCGGACACTTTCCCCCCCCCCTTCCTGTCCGGACACTTTCCCCCCCTTCCAGTCCGGACACTTTCCCCCCCCTTCCAGTCCGGACACTTTCACCCCCTTCCAGTCCGGACATTCTCACCCCCCTTCCTGTCCGGACACTTTCACCCCCTTCCAGTCCGGACACTTTCCCCCCCTTCCTGTCCGTACACTTTCACCCCCTTCCAGTCCGGACACTTTCACCCCCTTCCAGTCCGGACACTTTCACCCCCTTCCAGTCCGGACACTTTCCCCCCCTTCCTGTCCGGACACTTTCCCCCCCCCTTCCAGTCCGGACACTTTCCCCCCCCTTCCAGTCCGGACACTTTCACCCCCTTCCTGTCCGGACACTTTCACCTCCTTCCAGTCCGGACACTTTCACCCCCTTCCAGTCCGGACACTTTCACCCCCTTCCAGTCCGGACGCTTTCACCCCCTTCCAGTCCGGACACTTTCCCCCCCTTCCAGTCCGGACACTTTCCCCCCCTTCCAGTCCGGACACTTTCACCCCCTTCCAGTCCGGACACTTTCACCCCCTTCCAGTCCAGGCCAATTTTCAGCTTTCAGCGCTATCACACTTTGAATGACAATTGCGCGGTCCATGCATGCAACACTGTACATATATGAATTTTTTTATCATTTTTTGTGACAGATAGAGCTTTATTTTGTGGTATTTAATCACCTCAGGGTTTTTAAATTTTTTTTTAAACCAAAAACCACTGGAAATTGTGAAAAAAAAAAACATTTTTTCTTAGTTTTATTTATAAAATTTTGTAAATAAGTGATTTTTCTTCTTCACTGATTTTTTTGTGACAGATAAAGCTTAATTTTGGTGGTATTTATTCACCACTGGGATTTTTTTTTTTTTTTGCTATATAAATGAAAAGGTCCAAAATGTTTTTCTTATATAATTTTGCAAATAAATAATATTTCTTCATAAATCTTGCCCAACATGTATTCAGTTATCTTTTTAGTTAAAAAAAAGTAACCCAAACTAGTTTATAACCAAAAACTATAATTTTTCTAATTTTTTTTTTTACATTTTTATTTTTGTTTTATTATTATTTATTTATTTTTTATATATACTGTCACCCTAGCAGTACACAGTGTCACCATAGCTACACTTAGGAGACTGTGACCAGACCATATATATATAAAGTAAGATTTATTTACATTGAAACTAAAATCCATCCAAACACCAGCAAACAGAATACACAGCAAACAATAAGATAAAGCACTGCGTAAATTGACGGCGCTATATAAGTACCTGGAATAATTAGTAAATAAATAAATATCAGTGACCCATAACCAAATGCCAAAATAACTACTTAGCAACCTAAGTAACAGAAAGCCTGACTAGCAAATAAACTTTATAAAATATATACAAAATGGGGAACGAGGAGCAACTGGATAAAACTGGAGGTGCAAGGAACAGTAGTGAAGGGGGATCCAAAACTGGGGGAGTAGGTACACAAGGCAGCAAGGGTTCATGGTATAGGATGCAGGGCAAAAAAGCAAGATCAGTAACAGGATCAGGATAAATGGAAAGCAGTGTCTGGCTAGCAGAGCAAAACACTGAATCAAGAGATATTGGTAGAGGAGGGATTAAATACCCTCCCAGCAGCCAGCATCAGGTGGAGGCTGATTACTGGGATCTGCTCACTGCGGCCCTGCAGCTGTTGAGAAAATATAAGTTCCATCATGCCTCTGCTTTTGGGAGTCATGCTTTCCACTGTCAGCCCTGCAATGCCTCATGGAATTTGTAGTTCTGCAAACAGCTGGAGGGCCGCAGTTTGACACCAACACCCGCTGTTAGACAGCAAAACTACAGCCTCTAAATAACAAACACATCATACCAGGGGTGGACTGACAACTCATGAGGTCCCCAGGCAATAGGTGTTTATGGGGCCCCTGTGTCCTTGCCCAAACTCAAAAAAGCCTATGAAAAAGGTACCAGGGGCATCTCATGGGGCCCCCTACTGACTCCGGGCCCTCAGGCAGTGCCCGAGTTTCCAAATAGTCAGTCCGCCCCTGCATCATACTTACCTGCTCTGTAATGGTTTTGCACAGAGCAGCCCCGATCCTTTTTTTACATGACAGCATGCAGCTTGTTATGGGGACACTGATGCATGCTCGCTCCCAAGCCCCGCTCTATGTGTCCATAGCACACTTAGAGCTGAAGCTTGGCCTCCCCTCCACCCCGCACTCTTTCCTGATTGGCCCACTAGTTGCGATTAACAGTAGTGGGAACCAATGGCTTCTGCTGACTTGTCTCAGTCAATGAGGAAATATATATGTTTATAACTGACCACCTTGAAATATTTGTCACAATGTCACTATATCACGCCTGATGCAAAAAAGATATTTGGCCTCTAAAAATTATAAAAAAATAGATATTTGGCCTCTAAATAAATGTATATATATTGCTGCCACTATACCCTATTTCTTAAATCCAAAATATCTAAGTATCACCCGTTTTAGAGAATACAAGCGGCGCATACACCTCATAATGCTATCATCAAACATCAATTATCACTCATATATTATGTATCATTCTTTGCCTTCACTATTATTTCAGTAACAAAAGATACATAAATAAAAATAAACAACTTAATAAATATGACACATAATGTGGTATTACACCAATCCCGTGACTTGAAAAACATATATATATAAATTCAAAAAAAAAGTCCTGTGATAAAAAAGAAGAAAAAAAAGAAATGTAGAAAAACTTAAACTCCAGTGCTGAAATAATTTCTTGTGCCACAGAAAACTTTAAAGTGTCAGAACTTTGTGTAGTGCCCGCCAGGGGTGGATTGACAACTCATGGGGCCCCCAGGCAATAGGAGATCATGGGCCCCTGTGTCCTTGCCTAAACTCAAAAAAGCCTATGAAAAAGGTACCAGGGGCATCTCATGGGGCCCCCTACTGACCCCGGGTCCTCGGGCAGTGCCCGAGTTTCCAAATGGTCAGTCCGCCCCTGGTGCCCGCCGTGCACCCCCATTCAGGTGTGCACTCACTGATATTGCCTTTTTTAAAAGCATAATCCAGAGGATATCCATTAATTAGACCAGGAGGTTCCTCCAAGAATAGCCCCTTCACTGATTGGTTGCCAGGATAATTCAAAAACTCCACCAAATCATGAAAAGAGAAAAAAATATCAGCTGCAATAATATATTACCCAAGATAAATGGCTTTATTTGCTCCAAGTATTGCACTTGCAAGACTAAAAACATCAACAAGCCCAAATGAT